TGGGCAGAGGATCTGAACAGACACTTCTTGAAAGAAGAAATTTAGATGGCCAACAGGCACATGAAAAGATGCGCCACATTGCTAATCAGAGAAATGCAAATTAAAACCACAGTGAGATATCACCTCACAACAGTAAGGATTGCCACCATCCAAAAGACAAACAACAACAAATGTTGGCGAGGTTGTGGAGAAAGGGGAACCTTCCTACACTGCTGGTGGGAATGTAAATTAGTTCAACCATTGTGGAAAGCAGTATGGAGGTTCCTCAAAAAACTCAAAATAGAAATACCATTTGACCCAGGAATTCCACTCCTGGGAATTTACCCTAAGAATGCAGGAGCCCAGTTTGAAAAAGACATATGCACCCCTATGTTTATCACAGCACTGTTTACAACAGCCAAGAAATGGAAGCAACCTAAGTGTCCATCAGTAGATAAATGGATAAAGAAGGTGTGGTACATATACACAATGGAATATTATTCAGCCATAAGAAGAAAACAAGTCCTATCATTTGCAACAACATGAATGGAGCTAGAGGGTATTTTGCTCAGTGAAATAAGCCAGGTGGAGAAAGACAAGTATCAAATGATTTCACTCATCTGTTCGAGTATAAGAACAAAGAAAAAAACTGAAGGAACAAAATGGCAGCAGACTCACAGAACCCAAGAATGGACTTACAGTTACCAAAGGAAAAGGGACTGGGGAGGATGGGTGGGAAGGGAAGGATAAGTAGGAAAAAGGAACATTACGATTAGCACACATAATGTAGGTGGGGGTCATGGGGAAGGCAGTACAACACAGAGAAGACAAGTAATGATTCTACAGCTGATGGACAGTGACTGTAATGGGTTATGTGGTGGGAACATGATGATGGGGGGAGTCTAGTAAATATAATGTTGCTCAAGTAATTGTACATTAATGATATGAAAATAAAAAATAAAATATGTATGTTCTATATACTCTTCTTATGTATGATATAGTCCACAATAAAGTAATTTAAATTAAGTCAGAACAAACAAAAAGCACACCCTTAAAGAAAGAGTAGCAGAATGTGGGATTAAGATAATAATTTTAGAGCTAGAAGAGGCCTTCAAAACCATTTTAACCATCTCATTAAAGACACCAAAACAGGCCAGAGAACGTGATTTGCTCAGAGATTCAGTTACAGAGCCTAATCCAGAACCTAGGTAAACCTCCTGGTTTCCTGCCACGTGCTCCTCCCATAGCCTCACCCTGGTTAATCTATTCAGTTCTACTTCCCTACTATCTTCAAGAGTCACATCTCTCATCTGCACGTCATAAACTCACCTATGTTATAGCCTTTTTCCCTTCTAAATAACAAGTTTTTGCTTTGAGAAAAGGAGATCAGGAGAGACAGACTCTCCTCCACAAATATTTCAAACCCTCCTAAAACCAGTCAAAATATCTGGTAGTAGAGAAATAGTTCTGGGTCTATCTTTCTACTGCTAGGTATTTTGGCTCATAAATGCAGCTCTCCCGCTTCTCTCTACCCTTCCGCATGGCTTCTCGAGCATGCAGGCTTTCTTTTGGGGCCTCTGAGACGCACACAAGAAGGGAATGGTCTGAGAAATGATCAATGAAAACTCCCATTTTACCTTTTTCCAAGCACAAGGTCTCTCTTGGGAAGAGTGAGCTCTTCTGCCACCTTGTGGCATAGAATGAGAATAGCGAGCCCTCAAACCGTTTCCAAGCCCTGCTCCAAGGTGGCACAATAACGCGGCACAATGACGTGGCATCCAGGAACTAATCTACAGAGTATTTCAAATAGAGTGACAGGGAGGAAGTGTCTGATACCATTAGGGGGCAGAGAATCATGCTAAGGAAATACTAAGCAAAAACCCTGAGACCCAGGGAAGGTAACCGAGCCCCTTCATGCTGCCCTACCTTGCCTGCTAGAGCTATCGGGCAACTGCAACAGGGAAACGGAACAAGACAGTGCTGCCAACAAAATTTGAGGCCCTTGTGTTCCCTCTACTCGGTGGTCTCATGTCTCTGCTCCCTCCCATAGCAAAACGTCTTGAAAAAGTTATCTACACTTTTTCACCTCCAGTTCCCTCTCAGCCCTCTCCTACTTCACCACTCTGCTTTAACTGCTCTTACAAAACTGTCAAATCCAATGAGTAGTCTGTCTTTATTATATGCAACCTCTCAGCATTTGGCTAACCTATTCTTTCCTTGAAATACTTTCCTTTATTGGCTTCTATGCCATCCTCTCTCCTAGTTTTCTTAACTCGGATATGAGCTCCTTAGAGAAGTTTTCCCTGAGTACCTTAAGTGGCCTCTGCCAGTAAATCCTTCACTTCATCACCCTTTTGTTGATTTACAACTATCATTATCTATAATTACCTTATATATGCATTTGTATATGTTTATTATTAGCTCTCTGCACCAGTTTATTTTTTAACCATGTTTGTTTTCTGCTTCCCATCATTTCATGCAAACACACACTTGGTCTTGCTCACTGCTAGAACAGTGTCTGGCAGAGTAAGCCCACAATGAATACTTCTGGAATGAAAGAGAGAAAGGCACTGTGGCTGAACATTAAGCACTTCCTCTCCTCCTTCCACATTTCAGGCAGCATGTTGCCTTTCAGTGATGTCTCTTTCCTTTCTGTTTCCCCACAAGATTTCCCTTGATGCTCAAGATAGCCAGATTTCAACCTGAATTAAAATGTCAGGAAACAGGGTAATATTTAAATTATGATTTGATGCAACTCTCATGAACTCCCTCTTGAAAGAGTCCCTTAAATCAAGCTACGTTCACATCCCTATCATTCAGAGTGTCAGCTTCCAGAACCTTCTTATACACAGCCAAACCTATGTTGGCTCCAATGAAGTACATTTACAGTGGGTAGAAAGACTGCACAGGCTCTGGACTTAGAGGATCTGGATAGATCTTCATTTCTGCTTTATGATCCACCTACCTATGCTATCACAAAGCCTACAAAGTATTACATTAGATATATACTCTTTATTAAAAGATACAATTTTAGAAAAATCTTCAGTAAGTTACATGTCTAGGAAAACCTTCCCGAACCACAGACAGTATCACTCACCTAGTGTACTTAGTTCTTTCTCACAGCCTCTCAGCCTGATAGTCATGGACATGAGTGGTTTGCCTATACTCATTTCACTATTCAGGAGTGTGAAAATGTGCAAAACTAGATAGGTATGTCTGTGTTAATGTGAATTTATGTGTATAATTGTAAATTGAATTATAGAGACCGTTTGGAATTCTTCAGTTACAGAGGAGAAAACTGAAATCTAGAGTTTAGCAATTTTCTCAAGGTTAATAGGTAGAGTTAATAAAAGGGTCTGTACCAGAACCCAATTCTGTTGATCCCTAGCACAGTGCTCTCCCCACTGACTCATTCAGTAACTAATTCTGTCCTAGTTTCCTGCTCTATTCTATAAATCAGTTTCCTCAACAGAAATCTCTGTATCATTTCTGTCAGCATATAAATCTACATGACTGTGTCAATGAGCATGAATGTGAATGGCTACGTGTCTATCTGCAAGTATTTATAATGCATATCACTGGGTGTTTATGCCCTTCTTTCTAGGGAAAGCTGTAGGTGATTAAAATTCTTTATGACAGTACCAGCAATGAAGTTAGGGGAAGACGTTTTGAGTCAATCATTAACAAGCAGATTTGTTTCTCTCTCCAATCAGCTTTATTCCTGGGTCTTCAGGGAATGGGGCAAAATAACTAGGGTGGAGCCAGATTTTCCCAGGGTAAAACTTGGTTTCCAGGCAGTGAAAGTACTCAGTGACAAGATTATAAGGGACTGTCACAGATCAACAGCATAACGTCTCTACAAAGAGCATGGGCTCAAACTAACATGGATACCATCTTGGTTTTCAGCTTAATCATTACATCCTCTGATGCCAACAAGAAAGGTAAGAACTTCCTTAGCTTAATATCCTGGAAAAATACAGAGAGAGGCCTATAAAATGTTTGGGGGTCTATTCTTCCAGACAGAGATACAGCCAATACATAGGTCATGCTTTCCAGTCATCCCATGTATTCTCTTGCCTCTAAACAAGACTGCAACTTATTCAACACAGAGAGATAGCTGTTTCATGGTGCGAAGTCTTCAGAGGATGTGCTGCCTTCTTCCATCTTGTTCACGTCACTAACACTAAGAATCCTGTTGCGGTTAGTGGCTTCTTTATCAGAGGGTGCTGTGACAATTTCAGTATTGCCGTCACCTAAGACTTCCAAATTCATAACCTTAATAAGATGCTGTTTTGCTTTTCCAAAGTGGTGGTATATCCACATAGATGGGGATGCTCTTGAGCCGGAGATCTGAGGAGAAGGATGGTGGGGGGTAAAATGGCACCATTCACTCATCTTTGATAATGTTAATTTAAAACATGGTTTTTCAGTGTCCTAAGTTATATTTTCTCTCTAAAATTAGCTAATTAGAGCTAAGGCAAAGCAGCACAAAGTGTAGCAATAACAAATTTAACAGATGGAAAAACCACACCCTGTGCATTATGTGTCAAAAGGGTAAATAACTATGATTTACAGTTCTATGGAAACAGTAGAGGTTACCTTGTCCAAATTTACATTTAACAAACTTACAAAGTTTTAATACAAGAAGGCAGAGAGAACAGAATGGAAAAGAGATAAGCAGTGTCTGAAGGAAGGAGTTGGTTAGTCTTTCATTAATTAGTTAACTTCACTTAATTCTATTTCACCTATTTTCCCCCTAAGGGTAATAGATTGGTACTCAGTTTTCCTTACACTAGGCTAAGTCCTACTTATTTATATTTTGAAGTCTCTTTTGGGGAGTGTTCGATATCTCCAATTTCCAGTTTTATGAGAAGGAATTGCATTCTTTTGTATCTTCCTCTCTAGTGCCCAGAATTCTAAAGGGCTAGTAGCCAGTAAATCCTGACCTTTCTTTCTTTCTTTCAGAATTCAGAGATAGCAGCTGCCAAGTGGCGCTGCCTAGGCTTTTCCCAAAGGAAGTGAGAAGCATCGGGAATGTTCTAATGCAAGGTAGGGAACAGATACTTCCTGAAAAATCACTTTGCCATACAAGAAAGTTTTTATCTTTAAAAGATCTTTAAAAGAAAAAAAAATTTCTAGCCCAGATCTCAAGTATCGTATTTTAAAGATATGTATCCCCTCAAGAGGCTTTTTGGAAACCAACTTTAAAATTAACTATTATTACCTAAGGCACGGCTATATAAATCAAACAGATGGGGTTGAAGAAGGAGGAGGCAGCTCATTAGAGAAAACAACTTATAGGCACTTCTCTGGGCTGGATTTATTGCAGTCACCTGTCTTCATGGGACCCATGGCAGAAAGAAGAAAAGGCAGGGCTTGTATATTTAATACCATAAACATATATGGAGGAAGAAGTAAGCTGAAAAGAGAAGTACAGCTGTGGGGTTTAACAGGGGTCATCAGTGGAAAGTGGTTTAGCTGCACAAAATTCAGATTAAGAGCCAGCTTCATTTTTCCATCTGGCTTTTCTCCTTTCAGAAGCTCAGGCAGAAGCCAAAAGGTCCACATTCATTCAAAATCAGACTGTGGCTACCCTAGAGTGCCTGGGCTCTGGGAGCAAAGTGAAAGTCAACCTCGTGTATTCGGAGAAAAGGCCAAAGGTCAAGCACACTCTGAAGAACCTGATAATCATTGCTGTTCCCCGAAGAAAAAGAACTGCCTCCCCAAACTGTCGTCTAATCCCCACATCCAAGTTTCAGACTGGATCCCTTCTATCAGGCAAAGGTGAGACTGTAAAATGAGACACAGGGAGGCACTGACTTGTAGCTGACATCCTTGAAGGCAGGTGGAACTTAGTAGCAGCTAAAGCCTCAAAGAAATGGGTTACCCTCCCCTTGGGCGAATCTGTGTCCTCTCTGAGACTTGATTTTCTGATCCCTTCTACTCCTGCTATGCTGTAATTTTTCTATTATCCCCATTTCTTATGGGTTTTCTTTTGAAAATAGTTATTTGACTTTTATTTTGAATGCACACAGCATAGATTTAGAGTGAAAAGTTAGTCTCCTTCCTACTCCAATCTCTCAATCCTCCAGTTCTCTATCCCTGAGGGAACTACTATTACCAACTTACTGAATTGCCCTTCCTACTCTAAGCATGTATGGGTATACGTATTTTAAAAACATAAATGGTAGCATAGCATACAAGCTGTTCTGTACATTGCTTTTTTTCTACTTAATATTGTATGTTACAGGTTGCTTCATATTAATATAAATGTCTCATTCCTTTTAACACTTGTAAAGTATTCCACCTTATGCCTACATTATAATGTATTTCACCAGTTCCCTATTGATGGATATTTTCGTTGAGTCCCATCTTTTGCAAACACAATGTTGCAAGCGATGACCTTATACATTCTTCTTTATCAACTGGATAAATTCCAAGAAGCAGGACTGCTGCATTAAAAGTTTGATAGATACTGCTAAAACACCCTCCATAGCTCTTATTCCACTTTGCACCCCTACCCCTGCCTGCTCCCCAACAGCTGCTGGCAATGGCTTTGACCTCGGCCTTCTGTCTCTTCTTCCACCTCCTTTCCTTCTCCCATCGATTCTTTTTGTTAAGTATTTAAGGATCAATAAACTGGGACTGGCAGTTCCCCTTTATATACAGACAGCCCCCTAGACACTGCTACACTGCTCAAAAAATAAGACTGGACACATTGAGAGAAACTGGGGGTTCACAACAGAATAATGAAAAAAACTTTTAAAACTACAGTCTGTTTTAGAGGAGTAGAGATGAGGAAATAAGTAGATAGGTTCTTGGGATGTAGCCGAGATACAGTAAATTAAATATCCTCACATAACATGAATGTTTTAATTCCCTTTGTTGTACTTTCTAAATTTCACATGATGATAAACTGTGTGGAAAAAAGAACTTAAAAACGTAAAAGCCTCAGACAGTGTTTGAGAGCTTTTAGTCACTCAGTATGAATGTAAGGTAATTCAACAGACCATTTTCCTTCTAACCTGTGACACCCACCTTTGAGTCAATGGCAGGTGTGATGGGTAATAGTGAACTTAACTCATTTTGGGTTAAGCTCGCTGCACAGGGTAGATCTTTCTTGGATATAGTGCTATGCATTGCAAGACTCAGGGCAATTAAGGACACTAGTTCTTAGAAACTTGGGACAAGGAAAACTGGAAGATTAAGGGAGAGGAGAGATGCCAAAAACCACTGGACCTAATTCAAAAATTTGTCTCAGGCCAGCATAGGGCCCAAGGGAGGGAGGGAAGAAGACTTTCTGCCTCCTTCCTTCATGACATGTGACTGGTTCCCACATGCAGAATTTAAGCTAATACCCTGTAATATTTGAGCCATGAAAAGAAACTAAATGGATATCAGGTGTGTCAGTTTGGGGACCTCATCATCATTCACAATACATTTCTAATAATAAGTTCCAAACAACCAACTTATGAAATAGACTTTTGAATTATTACCTGATGTCTAAGTTGAAATTGTCTATTCTGAATTTAAAATTACATTAAGTACAAGGTGGTGATAGAATCCAAGTAGAGCAGAAATAAAAATTAAGTGAATGTTCAAATTACTAGGTCATAAAAGAGATACCCTCTGAAGTTAGCACACTATCGGTGACATCAGCCTGCATGGGAGGATGTCCCAGAAACAGCAAGAAGACAGTTCATAGAAATGTCCCCAGAACAAAGTAGGAATTTGGAACTGTAAGGATGATGGATTGCAACAAACCTATATCAGGAGATGTGGGACAACATGGAATATAGAAAAATATAATATGGGGACTATTTGTTACTCTTTAAGGAATTTGGCCATGGGAAAAAATCCTCTATTATAAATATTCTGTAATTTCTTTCTGGTGGAGAAAAATGAATCATTAGTTCTTTATCACTTATGGTAGAGTCTAAAATACCTAGTTACTATTGCTCAGATTCTATACCAATCAAGAAACTTTCCAATTATGCATTAGGTTTCACAGGAATGTATATGTTTAGAATGGGGTACCTAGAAGGGAAAAATGTCCTTTCTGATCCATTTGACAGATACATTCTCTTAGGTATAACTTTTTGTTGTTGTTATCATTAATCTACAATTACATGAAGAACATTATGTTTACTAGGCTCTCCCCTACACCAAGTTCCCGCCAGAAACCCCGTTACAGTCACTGTCCATCAGCATAGTAAGATGTTGTAGAATCACTACTTGTCTTCTCTGTGTTGCACAGCCCTCCCCTTTCCCCAACCCCCGCATAATACATGCTAATCGTAATACCCCCTTTCTTCCTCCCCACCTTTATCCCTCCCTACCCTCCCATTCTCCCCAGTCTCTTTCCCTTTGGTAACTGTTAGTCCATTCTTGGGTTCTGTGATTCTGCTGCTGTTTTGTTCCTTCAGTTTTTCCTTTGTTCTTATACTCCACAGATGAGCGAAATCATTCGGTATTTTCTTTCTCTGCTTGGCTTATTTGACTGAGTATATAATACCCTCTAGCTACATCCATGTTGTTGCAAATTGTAGGATTTGTTTTCTTCTTATGACTGAATAATATTCCATTGTGTGTATGTACCACATCTTCTTTATCCATTCATCTACTGATGGAAACTTAGGTTGCTTCCATTTCTTGGCTATTGTAAACAGTGCTGCGATAAACATAAGGGTGCATCTGTCTTTTTCAAACTGGAGTGCTGCATTCTTAGGGTAAATTCCTAGGAGTGGAATTCCTGGGTCAAATGGTAAGTCTATTTTGAGCATTTTGAGGAACCTCCATACTGCTTTCCACAATGGTTGAACTAGCTTACATTCCCACCAGCAGCGTAGGAGGGTTCCCCTTTCTCCACAACCTCGCCAATATTTGTTGTTG